AAAACATTAGCTTTAAAATAGCTACATTTGTTCCAGTTGAAACATTAGCTTAAAAATAGCTACACTTGTTCCAGTTGAAAACATTAGCTTAAAAATAGCTACACTTGTTCCAGTTGAAAACATTATCTTAAAAATAGCTACACTTGTTCTAGTTGAAAACATTAGCTTAAAAATAGCTACACTTGTTCTAGCTGAAAACATTAGCTTAAAAATAGCTACACTTGTTCTAGTTGAAAACATTAGCTTAAAAATAGCTAAACTTGTTCCAGTTGAAAACATTAGCTTAAAAATAGCTAAACTTGTTCCAGTTGAAACATTAGCTTAAAAATAGCTACACTTGTTCCAGTTGAAAACATTAGCTTAGAAATAGCTACACTTGTTGTAGCTGAAAACATTAGCTTAAAAATAGTTATACTTGTTCTAGTTGAAAACATTAACTTAAAAATAGCTACATTTGTTCTAGTTGAAAAAATGAGCTTAAAAATAGCTACACTTGTTCTAGTTGAAAACATTAGCTTAAAAATAGCTACACTTGTTCTAGTTGAAAACATTAACTTAAAAATAGCTACACTTGTTCCAGTTGAAAACATTAGCTTAAATTACAAAAAAGAACTATAAACTTATTATGAGTTTTGATTGAATAAGCTCTCCTATTGATGTCTTGATCCTGCTGCATAACTCAAGAGCTAAACTGGAACTCTACACAAAATTCCTATAATTCAGGATAAAATTCCTTTTATCATTTTGATTCTTCTGAAAATGGAGCTTTACTCTTAAATCTGTCACAAAGCTGGAAAATCCAAAATATGTTTACATTTTAAGGATAACAGCTACAATTATAGTAGTCTCCTGGTGGATCAGCGTTAATTTTACGTACTTCAAACGCTAAAATCCGGGGTTTGATTCCCTGCGATGGACAGAACTCAGATAGCCAGTTTTGTAACTTCAAGCTAGAACAAATTTGAAAATATTCTCACCCAGTGTCTTGTAAATTCTGTTCCAAATTTAAAATTGTAGTTGTCAAAATCATTTCACTTGTTTACAGTATATTACAGTAAACTTTTTTCTAAATTGTACGGTTACAATAATATGTTTTCTATAATTTACGATTACAGTAGGCTGTTCTGTATATTGTATAGTTACAAGAGTAACAATTTCTTTATGTTGTACTCTAACAACAATAATTTCTCTATATTGTTCGGTTAAAATATTCACTTCTTTCTACTGTACTGTTGCAAGAATATATTTACAACATTGTGGTACAATACTAATTTCTCTATATTATATGGTTATAATAATCTGTTCTTTGTATTGTATTCTTACAATAATTACTCCTTTGTACTGTACTATTACACTAAGCTGCTCTATATCATGTACGATTACAGTCATTTACTTTCTATTTTATGTTACAATAATAATATCTCTATAACGTATAGTAAAAATAAATGTGTTTTTATATTGCACTGCTTCAGTATTTTTTATATTATACGGTTATAATAATCTGTTCTCTGTATTGTATTGTTTCAATAATCATTTTTTTTGGGTTGTACTGTTACAATTATTTTTGTCTTATAATTCTACAGAAACCATTTTTCTTAATCTAGTGCTAGAGTAACTACTACTTTATATATATTGTACAATTACTGTTAGGGTCAGCCACCAGAGGGCAAACATTCTTGGCTAAATACAAAATACCCGAGTGGCTGATCCCAGAACTAGATGGGATTAAAGTAGAATGAAGAAAAATATCTTGGCACACTGTATTCTTCTACTTTTCGAAAGTTAATATAATTAATTCGAAATACAATAATATACTCAACAACTTAAATTTAAAAAAAATTCCCCATTGTTTGTGTGTTTTAAGAACATGCGACAGGTTACGTTGTAAAATGTGCATTTATTAAGTGCAAGAATTAGGGATAACAAAGGATTAGTGTACAGACATGTCTGATTCGAACAACCAAACTGTGGACTGGTGAATTTGTCCTTCTCAGAATATGAACACTGCACAGTTTACCTCGAAACATAGGAATATTAAACCTTAATCCTCACCTTCTGCCCTTTAAACAATGAGAAAACTGCACCTCAATGCTCACCTAACACTAGCACACCTTAATACTCACTGTCTATGTTGAAATATTAGAATATTCTACCTTAATCCTCACACTCTGCCTTGAACTATGGGAATTGTGCATCTTAAACACCACTGTGTATCTTGAAGTATCAAAAAGTTCACCTTAATCCTCACCTTGTTTTGTAAATGTTGCAGATTGTCAATAAAACGACCACAGAAACAATTTCTAGTTTATCAGATTTGCTACTTCTGCCGTTTGAACGTGTAACTTTGCAGATGCATGTAATTATATGTTAACTGTCAGTGTCATTAAATTAGGCATTTTCAAACATTTGGTTCACTTAAAACCTCACTTTAAGAAAAGTAGAATATTAGATGCTATTACACCCCAAAATAAGTAAAATATCGGCTGTTATTACACCCCAAAATAAGTAGAATATCAGTTGCTATTACACCCAAAAATAAGTAGAATATCAGCTGCAATTACACCCCAAAATAAGTAGAATATCAGCTGCTATTACACCCCAAAATAAGTAGAATATCAGTTGCTATTACACCCCAAAATAAGTAGAATATCAGTTGCTATTACACCCCAGAAATGTAAATATCACTTGCTATCCATAAAAGTAGAATATAGGTGGGTATTACATCCAGAAAAAGTAGAATGTCAGTTGCTATTACACCCCAAAAATGTAAATATCACTTGCTATTACACCTTGAAAAAGTAGAATGTCAGTTGCTATTACATCCAGAAAAGTCGAACAAGTAGAATATCAGTTGCTATTACACCTAGAAAAAGTAGAATATCAGTTGCTATAACACCCCAGAAATGTAAATATCACTTGCTATCCATAAAAGTAGAATATAGGTGGGTATTAATTACATCCAGAAAAGGTAGAATAGCAGTTGCTATTACACCTAGAAAAAATAGAATAGTGTTATTTTCCGTATTTTCAAATTTTACATTCAAATACTTTTCTAAAGATCTGTTTATATTAAGACATACAGATAATACCAATATACAATATGTGGGTTAAGCCTGAATCACTTAGGAAAATATCAGAAAGTGAGACTGATAGAATTACAGTAGATAGCAGAGTAAGAGTAAACTGTTGTTGGTTGTAGTTATATTTCTTCGCGAATATTTTCTAATGATTACATTCGTATACCGGAATTGCAGCAGTGCACAGGATCAAAATAACTTGCACATTAAGCCACGTATGACGAAAAATTTTCTTTGTTCCAATACTGAGTGAGTCGATCAGAAAGAAGGATAAGATAAACTATCCGTAGCCAGACAGATAAACTGAGAGACGTATAGAATAGAAGAGAGAGAAATAAATAGAAAGACAGAAATAGAGATTGTAGGCACATAGAAAGAAAGTAATACAGGTAAGGTAGATAAAGTGAATGATTGCAAGGAGCAGTCTTCAATACCGCTCCTCTGTTCGCTGAGAAATCCCCCCGGGTTTTCACAACCGCCGTCTAGACGATGTAACGAATACAACGCTTACCGACGTTCGACCGCGTCCACTTCTGCCGAGGGAGGTGCCACGTGCAAGTAGTTTGTATCTTTCAGTTCCCGTTATTGATAGTAGAAAGAAGTTGTAAGTAAATACAGTAGAAATAGGGTAAAACACGTAATTGGTTTACTTACTAGAGTAGTGATTACTAATCAACAATAGTGATAAGTGTTAAGAAACAATAAACTACCTTAGTAAGGAGTATTTTTAATATCAAGAGATATTACTTGCAACATTCAACAACAACAAAAAAAAACATAAAAAAGATGTGGTGTGCAACAATACTTACTGATAATTATATCGATCATAAGACACATCTCTAAACATACTTTTACACCAGAAGATATAGACTGTAGACCACCTCTAATAACATATTTTATAACAGAAGATATCGACTGTAAAACACATAACATATTTTACACCAGAAGATATAGATTGTAGACCACCTCTAATAACATATTTTATAACAGAAGATATCGACTGTAGACCACATCTAATAACATACTTTATAACAGAAGATATCGACTGTAAAACACATCTAATATAATTTACACCACATGATATCGACTGTAAAACACATGTTATAACATATTTTATAACAGAAGATATCGACTGTAAAACACATAACATATTTTACATCAGAAGATATAGACTGTAGACCACTTCTAATAACATATTTTATAACAGAAGATATCGACTGTAAAACACATCTAATATAATTTACACCACATGATATCGACTGTAAAACACACATCTAATATAATTTACACCACATGATATCGACTGTAAAACACACATCTAAAATAATTTACACCACATGATATCGACTATAAAACACATCTAATAACATATTTTACACCAGAAGATATCGACCGTAAACTACCTCTAATAACACACTTTTACACCAGAAAATATAAACTGTAAACCACTTCTAACAGCATAATTTTACACCAGAAGGCACGTCTAATAGGCCCGGCATGTCCAGGTGGTTACGAAGCTCGACTCGCCCTTTGCGAGTCGCGGGTTTGAATCCCCGTTCCACCAAACATGCTCGCCCTTTCAGCCGTGGGGGCGTTATAATGTGACGAACAATTCCACTATTCGTTGGTAAAAGAGTAGCCCAAGAGTTGGCGGTAGGTGGTGATGACTAGCTGCCTTCCCTCTAGTCTTACACTGCCTAATTTGGGACGGCTAGAGCAGATAGCCCTCGTGTAGCTGTCCGCGAAATTCAAAACAAACAAACACGTCTAATAACATAATTTACACCACATCATATCGACTGTAAACCACCTCTAATAACATACTTTTAAACCAGACGATATCAACTGTATAGTACGTTTAATAACACACTTTTTACACTAAAAGATATCGACTGGAACCACATGTAATAACATACTTTTACACTAAAAGATATCGACTGTAAACCACCTCTAATAACATACTTTTATACCAGAAAATATTGACTGTACAATATGTCTAATAACATGTTTTAACACCAGAAGATGTCCACTTTAAATAACATACTTTTACACTAGAAGATATTGGCTGTCAAACACCTGTAATAATATAAACCACATCTAATAACATACATTTTGTTGTACATATTCTGCTCTTCTGTATGGAGAATCCTGAATGGAAAAGTTAGTCGTGTAATTGAGATCTGTACTTATTTTACAAATACATTTTTTGTTAATGCTTTTCTTTTTGACTTTCTTTGTCTAACGAACAGTTTAATTTCTTCATGTTCTTTAATGTATCGTGATGTAATAATGATATATAATTCTTTATTTAATAGATGCATTGTCCTGAGCCATGAAACAACGTGCTAAATTGTTCCGTTTAATTTCCCTGTGTTTCAGTACTGTCTGGTTGTAATCTGTCCGATTTAACCGGCTTCGACTGTTTTTATATTGTTTTTTATCTTTCTTTCTTGTTATTTCAAACACTTTTCAATCAACCGTCATTCTTTCATTTCTCGGCGGATTGACTTGAAATTTGATAGGATTATAACTTGATCCAATACATCTATTAAACGTTTTTCTTTTTTTGATTTAGCCCTATTTAAGGATTTTATGGGATGAAAAGTCAAACAACCCAAATAATATATATAATGGGCTCCTGTGTGGTCATATTTAAACCAATCGAGATGAAAATTGGCAAAAATATAAATTTTCAGTCCCCAACAGATTGACATTCAAAAATATTGATTTGCTCAACTTCGACCAATTTACGTGGAAGTTAATACAATGATACTCTTTAAGGTCCCAAATAGAAATATAGACAGTTCTGAAATTTTTCAGCGTGGAAAGCACAATCTGGGTTTTCGTGAACTATTGATGTGTATGTCAACCAACTTACCTGTGAATTATTGATGTGTATGTCAACCATTACATGTATGTCAACCAACGTACATGTGAATTATTGATGTGTATGTCAACCAACTTACATGTGAATTATTGGTGTTTATGTCAACCATTACATGTGTATGTCAATCAACTTACATGTGTATGCCAACCAACTTACATGTGTATGTCAATCAACTTACATTGGATTTGATACAAAGAAACCTTCTTGCAGGTCACAAGCAGCGATATAGACAGTTTTCGATTTTTCTGCGTTTTTCACGATTTTTCTGGTGTCAAAATTTACCATGTTGGGATTGCGTGTCGGAGACATGTTGCATTCGCTCGCGAATTATGATCTCTTTAATTTCTTTTGTAATCTTAAATGTATCTCACGAGGTTTGGCCATTTTATTGGAATATAAGGTAGTCTTCATTGATACACTAAGACAGAAACGTTAAATAATCTTTATAATAAGTACATAATAACAACAAATTAAGAATAATAGAATATATATTTTACACACTGTAATCAATGTTGTTAAACAGAGTAACTAACATTAAAGAGAAAAGTGCAATTTACTAACATTTCTGGAGAAACTGATCATAATAAGTCATTATAGAATACATGTTACAAAAAACTGATCGATAATGTAATGACATAAAGTGAGTTAATAAGGAGAGAATATACTCAAAAGGATGATTTTCTTTTCGATGCCAAAAAAGACAGTCGGTAAAATAAAAGTGTCACACTCTTGGTGATTGTGAAACGAATTGATCAACACGTTCTGTGAATAAAGCTACCTTCCTTTTAACAACGTTCTGCCCACAAGCTGTTGAAGTTTTACCCTCTCGGACGATCCCCTCAGATTCTTTGGTAACTTATGTCTCGTCCAGAAACTCTTTTCAAAATAATTTTCGTAATTATCTTGAGATTTTAACCCCTGTCTGATTTTTTGAGGGGGGGGGGATGAACCTTTGTCCTGATTCTGTAAAGCCTAACTTTTGTCAAACCGACAAAAAATATGACTTACATTCTGACATTATAACTTTCCCACAAACAGTGTGAAAAGCATAACCTCATGCAAGTACACAAGACATTATAACCAGTCAGACAAACTGAAGAACATGACTTCTTACAAGTACACAATAAAACTTAAGATTAGCACTTTCTATTGTGAAGTAAGATAGACTAATGGCCAGATATTCTGAGGTAATGTAGACCATACACGAAGATTCTATAGTAATGTATGCCTTGTCCAGAGATTTTGCGAATGGAACTTTCTCACAGGTATACTTTAAGAATGTAAGTACCACCCATCGATTCTAAAAATTTAAAAAGTTCGTGTCCGCGATATTCTTCTGAACACGCTCTGTACTTTCATCGGTGAGCACGGAGTGACAGTTGATTACACTTTAAGATTAACAGTATCCGTGAAGGCGGCTGGGGCTGCTGACATGTTGTCGTTAGAAGTTCTAAATAAGGGGCTGCTCTGTCTAAACTTTGAAGTCTCTGATTGGTTATTCTGTGTACCACATACTGACTTGTTCCCTCTCCCAGGGATTGTTATGTCTGAACCTTGAGGTCTCTGACCTGGTTTTTTTCCCCCTAAAATATCATATAAAGTTTAAATAACCATTTTGGTTGTGAAATAAAACCCCCAGCAACTTATGTCACTGAAGAAAGTAAAAAACGAAGAGTATCATGAGTGCGATTTTTAATAACATTGAAATTGCATTTAACTATTGAAACATCAAACAGGTTGTAATAATATATTTAGTATTTTGTAATAGGTAGCGCGAGCAAAATTTTGATAGGCTCGAATTGACGTCTGTAGCCTTGTGGTTTTAAAATTATGTTTCTTGTGAAAAGATTCGAAACTAACGAATTCAGGACTAACGACTATACGGTCATGGATTAAAAACCACTGCGTTGTTGGTTCCTTGAGGCGAAGACTGTTATTGGTAGCTATAGCAACACTCGTAAACACTCTTGGTCGCATGGAGCGTTAAGTTCGAATGCATGACGCCAGGGAATGATGTGACATTCGTCAAAATCTTATGAAGACGTGAGTCTTTTGAGATGCAATATTTACCTTACATTATTCCCGTATCGTATACCATATTTTTTCTCTTTGAAGGCCCTTAGTACTGTCATTTATGGACCTTGAAAACGAACATTATTTATCGGAATGAGGTTTACGGTCAGGTTAGTCTCATAATGTTAGCAAAGGTAGAATAGAAGTCCTTGACTAAATGATGTTTTTATGGTGGTGAAAGACAAGAAGATTCAGTTAGGTCGTTACGTGAGGAACACTTATATTTATAATAGATATAAAGACGCAGTTTTCCTTCTATCTCAATCGTAAATAATATAAGCACGAACTGGTTGACAGAAGAAACACGTAATATTTCTGTTCCAACGTTGTCAATAATCACCTGTTTAATGTTTCTCATGTGACACAAAAAATCATGTGTGAATACGAAATGGAAAAGAAGGATTTACACCAGTTTCACAACAGTCTTGATAGAGAATGATGGAGTGTCGGTAAACTCTGATCTACCATTTTTAAAGTTAAGGTATTGTGCAACCTTAAGCGTTTTTTAATACTTATTTATATTTCCGTTTTGAGATTTATAAAGATTCTACCGTGAATTGTTTTAACAGCAACGTCAACAAAAGTAGCTTATCACAATAGTTACCATTAGTTAGCCCTGTAAATAAAACAAAAAATCTATGTAAAAAAATCGGTTAAAATTATATAAGAAAAATAATTTTAAAGATTTTGTAGGCAGTCTTTATTAAAAACTTCATCATGGGAAACCAAAATACAACAAATATTTGATGTTATCAATAACAGTCTGTTTTTTGTAGCTTTCTGTCCTCTAGAATTTATTTATTTTTACAAAACCGAAACTCGTGTTACAAATTGTTCTGAGGGGGTGCTATAGAAAAATCCTGTGATTTTTTGAACATCAGATGACGTAAGTTTGGTAGTTTCATTTTAACAATTTTATAATACCAACTGCAGTAATGATATAAAGGACAGATGTAGTTATGTTTCTACTTGATATCAACTGCAGTAATGATATAAAGGACAGGTGCAGTTATGTTTGTACTTAATACCAACTGCAGTAATGATATAAAAGACAGGTACAGTTATGTTTGTACTTAATACCAACTGCAGTAATGATATAAAGGACAGGTACAGTTATGTTTGTACTTGATATCAACTGCAGTAATGATATAAAGGACAGACGCAGTTATTATTGTACTTAATATCAACTGCAGTAATGATATAAAGGACAGGTGTAATTATGTTTGTACTTGATATCAACTGCAGTAATGATATAAAGGACAGGTGTAGTTATGTTTGTACTTGATATCAACTGCAGTAATGATATAAAGGACAGGTGTAGTTATATTTGTACTTAATATCAACTGCAGTAATGATATAAAGGACAAGTGCAGTTATGTTTGTACTTAGTACCAACTGCAGTAATGATATAAAGGACAGGTGCAGTTATGTTTGTACTTGATATCAACTGCAGTAATGATATAAAGGCCAGACGCAGTTATTATTGTACTTAATATCAACTGCAGTAATAATCTAAAGGACAGGTGAGTTATGTTTGTACTTGATATCAACTGCAGTAATGATATAAAGGACAGGTGTAGTTATGTTTGTACTTGATATCAACTGCAGTAATGATATAAAGGACAGGTGTAGTTATGTTTGTACTTGATATCAACTGCAGTAATGATATAAAGGACA